TCTCTCTGTCTCTGTCTCTCTCTATCTCTCTGTCTGTCTGTCTCTCTGTCTGTGGACCTCATGTCACAGGACAGAGGGATGATATCACATGTCACTGAGGGATAAAGATGGAGGATGAAGATGGAGGATGAAGATGGAGGATTAGCTCCGCAGATGTAAACAAAACAAAGCATCACGGTCGTGAGACTGTCGCCGCATCAGCAGCCTCATCTGCGGGGACGTGACTCACCTTGTAGCCTTTAGCTCCGAGGATCGACGTCTGTTAGCTCGACTGTGACGTTAGCTTAAGTCTGCGTGGTCCGGACTGTCAACAACAACAACAACAACAACAACAGGAGCTAACCGACCCGCTGCTGCGTCACGGTGACATCACCAGTGTCGCACGTGTGTTCACAGACGGTCACCAGAGAAACGCCATTGGTCGATCCCGCACGTCACGCAGTTGCTCCACTCCACCGCAGCGGTTCACCGGCCGACACTTCCGGGTTTGGGTGTGGTCACCGTGACGTAACAGTCGAGCCCCCACCCCCCACCCCACCGGCGCGCGCGCGCATAAAAGCGGACGCGTCACAGAGTCACAGATTCACCATGGCAACGAGAGAACAGAACTCCTCGTGGAGGTGAACGTACCCGGATGACCTAATGATTCCAACATCATCTAAAATCACCATTGATCTAAAACGACTGACATTAATGATCACAGATAAATAATGACAGTGGGTGTAGTTGATAAGTTGGTTTCCATTTGTGGTGACTGCTGCTGACTGGGATAAGGGGTGAGATTGAATAGATCGTAGAATTTAGCGCCACAGAATAAATCTCCATGGTAACTTGTTCCCACTTTCCACTATCCCGCCTTTGTGCAGCCGGATCAGGATAAGTCGAGCCAGGATAACCGAGATTAACCCCGGTTTGATCCCTTATCCTAGTTTTGTGCAACGGGCCCCAAAGGTTCAAATGTTGTCCACAGGTTCAATCTGTTTGGATCTGCTGATTTTATTTGAATCGGTTTTTATATTCATTTCAAACTTCTTTAAATTAGAAGTTCATTTTCAGAGTTTTTAATAAATGACAAGCAAAATCAGACATATTGAAGTTACTCTAAAGTCTTAGTTCATTGTTAGTTTTTATTGATAAATAACAGGCCATAATAAAGCAAGTCATTGAGGATGGTGGGTGGAGCCTGGTGGACTAAGGGAAGGAGACTTGGTTGTCCCCATTAATGCATGAGACAGGGTTATAATTTCAGGCTCAGTTCCCCAATCCCAACTTTAACTTGAGCATAGTCTTAACCTCTGACCCCCAAAAACATTTTTTAATTAATTGTTAAATCAGAGACATGGCTTATGATCATCTACAGCATGCTAACAGCAGAGTCACCAAAGAACTGGTTGAATATCTCTGGGTGGCCTCGGTAAAACTGTCCGAGGAGACGCTTCCTCTCCTTGGCTGAGATCTTTGTGTTGGTGTTGATGCTGTTCAGCAGAGCCCACAGCTCCTGCTTGGTGGTCTCCTTTGTAGCGTCAGTGTAAGTCCTGCTGGAGACCTGCTGACGTAACGTGGAGCCTGGAGGACAGAAGAACCACAGAGCAAAAACACAGGGTGAGGTCATGTCGAAAAATGAAATAATATAATGCAGTTGAAAAAGCTGTAATCACAAATCTAATTATTAAGTTATGCTGCAAAATTGTGTCCATTTATTGACTTTACACAAAGATGGACGATGTGAAAATGAATACAAAGTGTTGTGATCGCCCCCTGGCGACAGGCTGCAGTACAGGTCACAATCAATGCCTCCTCCTCCATGTTAGCAGAGGGCACATGCGTCAAACTAAAGTCGAAGTGCACATTAAATAAAACATTTTCAAAGATGGTTTCTGTCTTTTTATGTAATTTCTTATTAGATTGAGGATATCTGACCAGACTCAGAGGTCTGGACAAAATTCTGAAATGATATTCATGTTCGGTCACGTTGGCGGCTTGATGTTGTTCATATGTGAAAGGCAAACTCCGGAGAATGTCTGCAGAGAATGTCTCTGGAGTTCATGTCTGAGAACAGCTTTCAAATCCCCCTTGCTGGGACTAATAAAGGATTATGGACACTGGTGCATTTACCCGTCACATCAGGCTGCGTCCCCTGCACAAGGCTGGACAGCTTCTCACTCACTCCTTTGTGCAGAGCTCCTGGTATCTGGAGCAAAACAGAAAAATGTCTTGTCGGCACAGGATCGTATGATTTGTGGATTAAAGATGTCAGTGCAGTGACAGCGTTGATTTTTTACCTTGAAGATTTCCTTTATGTTGCTGAGCATGAAGACCACGAGCAGATCCTCGTTCTCCTTTGAAAGAGCTTTGCTGTGGACGATGGCTCTGGAGAAAGACCTCTTCACTGCTAACCTGTTTTCCATCTGAGGGTTCAACGGCACATCTCAAACGTCAAAGTACAAATTTTCTGCATCACATCAACGACTTTCAATGTCCACAAATTCTTAATTTGAACTTTTTTAATGTACTTTATTAAATATAAGATTGAGACACCAGCTCTCACCTCCTTATCCAGTTTTATCGCCTGTGGATCAGCGGCCAGAGTCATGAACGTAAGCAGCCTGCGCAGCTCGTCTCTGCAGCTAGGTGGCAGCAGTTTCAAGCACAGCTGCAGAGCCTCCAGGGCCTTGTCTAACTTTGCGTTCACTGGGGAGTCGAGAAGGAGACAAAAATAAGACATAAAAAAATGATTTATAATGAAAACAACATTGAACAACATGAGTGATCAGCCAAGATACATGTGAGGCACAAACAGGCCGTGAATAAATGACAGTGGTTTTATTGTTGTTTTGATCCTTCTTTGTATTTTTATCTACATATATATTTGGTGTTTTTCTTTAAAATAAATAAACAAATCAATCAGTATGAGACTCTTACCCAGCAGCTCAGTGACGGCAGTGCAGACGTCAGTCATGTTCTGCGGCAGCAGCGGAGGTTGATCTGTGTGACTGTAGTGTTTCACCAGAGTCCTGTACACCAGCAGTTTACACTGGGCCAGACCACTCAGGGAGAGACGAGGCTCATCACTGTTGTAGCCTGACACACAAATCAGAATCAATACGGAACTGGACATTCATGTTGATCTCACATCATCTAAAGCAGCTACCTCCATCTTGGTTGGTGCTACCAGCTGGCGCTTGGTCACAGCTCTCCTGGTCCTGAGGGAAACAGTGAGGCAGCTCCCGGCTCAGCTCCACCACCGGCTGATCAGACAGGAAGTCCAGACAGTCCAGAGCTGCACACAGCCACTCGTCCTCCCTGATGAAGAGGAAGAAAAGTATCACAAGGAAATTAGAATTAAATAAATACTAGTGAGGATATTATTCACCTGAAAAAAAATGCAGTTTTCAGATCAACTCTGACAAATCTGGACCTTATCCGGAGTTTGTCTGTTATAAATGAACAACGCAGCAGGACATTGTCCAGGTCAGACTCGTTCACAACAACAGGAAGGTGTTCAGAACATTCAGGTGAGGGGTGGAGCCTGGGTGGACCATGTGTCATTCAAAGTTGGCATCTCCCTGAAATATTTCTATTCCGTTTGTTCTTTTCACTTCTGCGTCCATTGCATGTTTAAAACTTTACTCGGGGGCTGGCGAGGGCGTAAAATGTGACGTTGAAAATGGTTTTCAAAGCTCAAACATACTGAGTCTCCCTGAAGGCCTTGAGGATCTGTCTGTCCAGGTGGTTGCTGCTGTAGATCAGGTCTGGGTTACTGTGGGACAGCGAGTGTGACGGAGCCGGGGGCGACAGGGTCTGGCTGCACTGAAGCACCCCTTCCAGGAGGGGGAGCTCAACCAGGTTCAGCAGCCTGAGGAGGGTCTGCTCATGCCAAACCTCATCTACCACTGAGGAGGGGGCAGAGACAAGAAATAAGAATAATGGTAATAAAAAAAATTTACACCATGACGTGGTTGTTCATGTGACTTACACGACTGTGGTAACACGGAGTCCGTCTGCAGTTTGCTGGGACTCACGCTCTGATTGTCCACCTCGGCCTCCACCGTCAGGCGGCCGGTGACAGGAGCATCCGGCTGCTTTGCTCTGGTGGGCGTCTGAGTGGACTTGATGGGAGTTAACATGGGGACACGTGACCCAGGAAGACTCACCTGCTTCTCCTGCCTGAGGAGCAAAACAGAGACGACACGTTGGGAAGCTAATTGTGGTTAGAGTACATGATGAGAGACAAAGAGTTTGGTAAAGATTTGACGTCTTGCAGAGATTTATTAAGTGTCCAGGAATTTAAACTTTTAACTTTCAATTGAAAAGAGTACTGGCTCTTTAATTTGCTTTATTTTTTTATTATGCACCGAAACACCAAAGCTAATTCCTTGTCAGTGAAAACCTAGTTAGCGATAAACACGATTCTAGTTTTGACACGTGTGCTCAGATGTAGCTGAAAGGACATTATCTAGACTCTGTACCTGTCTGATGAGGCGCTGCAGAAGAGTTTCTGAATCCCATTCACCAGCATGGCTCTCTCCAGCTCATCAACTGAAGGCATGTGCACGTTTACAAACCTGAGTGTGACATTTTAAATGTAGATTTTTTTATATATATATGTGATTTATCATTCTGCGGCTGGAGTGACAAGAAAACAGAAATATATGTCTGTACCTGTAAAGGGCACATTTGCTGTCCTGAAAGGAATCCTGCTTCTTGTCTTTCCCAAACACTTTGGTTCCCACCGCCTCAAACACGTTACACTCCAACAGAGCCTGGCACACGCTCACCACTTTGTCCCGGGACACGTCCGCACCTTTAGTTTAAATAAAACACATAGAAAGAATAAGAAGGGGATGGTTTTCACACTGAACCATCAGATCGCAGATTATCTGATTGAAATCTGGTTTCTCGCCCCACACACACCCTCGAAGCTCTGGATGTGGTTTAAATGCTCTGTCACCACATCTACGGCCTCTGAGCCCAGGAAACAGTCGCCGTGAGACTTGAGGTGAACCCGTCGACGCTTCACAGTCACAGAGGCCCTGAGGTGAGAGAGGAGGCCGCTCCACAGGGAGGAGGACTGGAGGCCTGCAGGTTTACCACACACTCCATGACCTGGAACATGAAGGTAAACACACGTCGATCACCTTCTCAAAGTTTTGATTTCTGCACATACTCAACTTTAAGATGCTTTTACTGTTTCCTTTGGTGCTGGCAGTGTTGAGTGTTTCTGTTTGCTCCACCAGACCTTGATGGGCAGCAGCTTTCTGAATCATGAACTCACCTGGAGGCCGCACACACAGTTTCCCTGCGAGGTTCAAGGCCGCAGCTCTTTCCTTTATTGAGGCCATGTTGGGCAGTTGGAGGTGAACAGCACGTGCAGGATCCGTGACGATGCACAATGGCCTCCTGTTTGTGTGGTGCTGTATTTAATTTACACCTCTAGATGGCAGCAATCACTAAATCACATTAAACTCAAGCCACAGGAGTTTAATTCTGAGTTTTATGGTGCAAAGTGTTCTGACTCAAACATGTGCTGATTTCACATGAGAACATATGATGAAACACATGATAAATGTTCATTATTCATGAATGACGAAAACGACACATGGTCAGTCATGCTGCCTTCAGGTGCTCAAGGAAAATTTAGAGCTGGAGATGGAAGCAGAAACCAAATTGTACAGCCTCGGAGCCCCTGAAGTAAAGATGTCATGTGAATTAATAGTCTGTTCAAGTTTATGTTTTTAAAACTAAAATAAGAGAATGTAAAAGTGTTTATAAAGACACATTATGAATAAAGAAAATACAAATGCAATTACATTTACACATTATAGATAATTGAAATTTAAGATAACATTGTGTCAGACACTGGGGGTTTAAACATACACATAAAATACACAAAATGAAAATCACCAACACACACATATGTGAATGTTTCCTGTTGTGCAGGAAATTGTCCTGTTGCAACTGCAGCTAATCTTTTATAATCAGGGGACAAATAGCATCATGACATTATTTTATTTCAAGTTCAACTACTATAATTGTTGTATCTTTTGCAACAATATGCTATTTCTTATTGCTATTTTTATTTGGAAATCATCTTGTGACCCCACTGTCAGTGTATGTCTGTATGTCTATGACTCATAATAAAAGATAATAAAATCTATTTTGACATCCTGTATTGAGTATTATTTAATTTTAAAGCCATAACCTCTGTACATTGACGATAAAGAGCAATTGAATGTTTAAACTTCGAGTATTCTATTTGTATTTTTGAGCAATTTCCATGCTAATTGCTAACCATGATGCACACATATGAACAACAGACTGTCTATATAAAAAACCACGGCCTTATAATCCAGGTGTTCCCGAACCTTTCAGCCTCAGACGCCCACACTAAAGGCCCTGGAGTCTTATGAAACATAAAATAAAAATATTTATTTGAGCTAAATCCCTAATGTGCACATGCATGTTTCCCGTGCTGCTATAAATTGTCCTGTTGCAGCTGCAAAGATTCACTGTAGGGCTGATTTAATCTGAAAGCATTCCAATTTCAATTTCAGGGTTTTTATCTTTATCATAGGTTTTAAGACACACACACACACACAGACACACACACACACACACACACTGATCTGTTTAGAAAAGTTCCACTTGGTCACCTGACAGCCTGGACACAGGGGGCGCTGTAGGAAACCACCTCCCCTGCTACTACCTCCCCAGGGACGTTTGTTCGAGCTAATGAGCTAACTGGCTAATCACTAAAGGTAAATTTCTCCCATCAAACCACTTTTATTCTCAGAACTTCTTTATTTAATACCCATTGAAATTAAATTAACACGTTAAAGTGTCGTTGAATGAGACATATTACCATTAATTAATTAACTACATTATCAGTTGTTTGATATGTGGCAGAAAATTGGAGGTTTATGCTAGCTAGCACGGGTTAGCTTCCAGTGTAGGCTAAATGCTAAGGTGTGTTGAGCAGGAAGTGATGTTTAACAGAAAAACAAAAAGTCTGTAATTAACTTTTCATTAATTAATTAAGTGAATTAAAGTGTGAAGTCAAACACAGAGAGAAGTCAGATTTTAAACAGAGCTCATCAACTGTTCACTCAC